AGAAGTTCACTTGAAAGTAGTTTCATACCTTTTACACATGTTGAAAACACTTCACTCTTTCAAACGAGTCCCACTTAAACAAGTAAATGATGTGAGAGAAGTTCACTTGAAAGTAGTTTCATACCTTTTACACATGTTGAAAACACTTCACTCTTTCAAACGAGTCCCACTTAAACAAGTAAATGTTCAAGCAGTCTATTTTCATTTATCACGAAACCTTTATTAATAAAATTAGAATACCAAAAATTAACATTACTGGTAACTTGGTTCCACAGAACTTCACACGAGCTTTTCCTTTAACCAAGGTGGCAGCAATCTGTAAGATTATAGCTTCTACAGTGTAAGCACTACTCCAACCCTGTAATCAATAAAACTAATGTTTACATATAATTTCAGTTTACGCTCACAGAAATTAAAATAACATACAGTAATCAAATTTTATCAGTAGTTAAAATGATCATGAAACTTGTATCACACGAGAGGTTGACACAAATACCCTTAAGTTAGTAATCCAAATATCTTTTTTCTGAAAGTAATATATTACATCACAATATGCAGGGTCTTAAATTCTTAGATTCACCAATTCCATTTAAAATGTTCTCTTGCTTAGGATATGAAGAAGTCAAGCTCACAAACACAGTGGGAGTGCAGGATTCCAGCTTTGAACAGCCATAAGTAATGTAAGATAATTCCCAATACTTAAAACTCCATAGACATTTTATTTATTTTTTGCTTAAAAGAAAAAAATTAAATTTTACAGTGTTATGTTCAAAATTTAACTAAACAACTTTATTATTAATGTGCATCAATAAACTTGGCACAAAAACATAGTATATATAGTTCATTTTTTGTTTAAGTTTTAACTTCATAAAGACATATTTTAAAAAAATTTCCAATTTCATTTTTGTGTGTCAAGTGACAAGTCTGAGTCACATTCGACTTTAGTTTTCAAACTTCTAAAACAGGCTGCTGCAGTTTCCAACCAATTAGAAACACAAGCTATACATAATTCCATGCAATAATCTAAAATTCTGAACCTCCTACCATTCCTTATTTCAATAAATTTGCAAAACCACTAGAGAAGCCCCTCCCCTCTCTGACTTTCAAGATTGTTTGTAATCACACTTTACACAGCTGACAGACATGCTTATAACCAACAGAAAGATTAGATTCTCCTCTATATAAATATTACAATCTTGCAGTCAGTTTTCACTTTGCGAGAACTGCTTGGTTTGTGTTGATCAGTTTTGTGCTCTGAAAAGTAATAGAAATTTTTCATCCTATTTATAGCTCACTTAGAAAGCAAAGTAAATTATAATAGTTTTGGGAAATTATATTATTATGCTAGATATATTTTTTTTTTACTAAATTCATATATGAAAGCTATATGAACTTACTTTTGGACACCCAAATTTGTGAGACTCAATGAGGCTTAGAGGATAAAAGAAAATATTTCTACTCACATGCAAATAACTTGAAAAAACATATTTTTCCTTCATTAACCAAAAGGGAAAAATGATTAACTTCTCAGATAAGCTTAACAAACCTTCCCCAAAACAAAACATCAAAAGTTATACTAAATCAAGTGCCAGTGCAAAATATGACTACATTATAATCTGTTTATGTTGGCTTTATGAGAAACATTGTGTCATCCCAGGCCTAAAAAAATTATCTGCCTTTTCCATGATTGTATTTAAATCACAAAAATTCTGTATTTACTATGCTAACTGAAGGTCGGAGTTAATTTTCGTGAAACACGTAACTAGGGACAGAGGCTAGGATCCTGAGATTAGTGATAGGTAGTATAAGGAGAATAGCAATAAACTTAAAATTGCATGACATAAAAGGTTAACCCTTTAGGTATGTACATTTATTCAGTCATATCATGCTCAAAATCATCATCAGATAACTCAGGTTCAGAGTCAGAATCATCATCAGCTTGCACAAGTTCAATTGTCTCTTCAAGTGTGAAAACACTGGAGCAATTTGAGTTTTGTTTTCTGCAAATATCACCAATGTTTTGTATAGCAACATGCACTATGTTGGATATGAATCAGTGGCTGAGATTGTCACCTGTACAGATTAGGCTTTGCCTCTTGATTTTGTACACTTGTTTCACATTTCTAGCTGGAAACTCAAATAATATTATGTGGTCACTATATGGCAACAAACACACCTAAAGGGTTAAAATGATATGGTAAAGTTGATGACAAGAGGGTTTGCTTGCCATATGTTAAAGGTACGTGAACAAGAGTATTTACGATAATATATATATTATATTGTAACTCTCTTCATACTGTAAGCTAAATAATTATCTTCCAAGTGTAAAAAATGTAGCAGAAAAAGCTGAGTTTATTTTGGCCAAATGTGTAGAAACCTGAAATTCAGAATTAAGGAACATAAAGAGTGGTAGATGAATGTATATTGACTTTAGCAGAGCATGTGGCAAGCATGTTATGTCTCATGTTATAGACTGAAAAAATGTTATACTGATGAATGAGGTTGAATTCAAGTAGGAATTAAATATTAGAGGATCAGTAGAAATTGAAAAAAATAATAAATTATTATATTGTATACAGCTGGTGGTTGAAGAAATACAATACTGTAAGTCTGGTTTGTAAGTCCTTTGGAGTGGGTTGTGGTGGCTCAGAGTTTAATGCAGAATAATGCAAGTTGAAGATGATGAAGTCAGTATCTGACAGACTAACACTCCTGGTGACAATATCACTATTGCTTATTTCTAGTAAGATTTTTCACCTGTTTTGTCAGTAATTCCATACAAATGGCACCACCTCCAAGTACATAACCTCCAGATATGATCGGGTGGACAACTCTCACAAATGGAGGCTCAAAAGGGAAGGTTTCCTGCCAGAAAATTTGTTATAAAAGTCAAAGAAGTACCAACAAACATCATCAACTTCATTTAATAATCCAGTTCTAAAACATACACAAAAATATTTTCAACCAAAGTTTAATGTAAAATTCATTAGTAATTTAATATGTGAAACTGAGCTCAGATATTAAGAAAACATACAATCTACTTGACAAATTACACAACAAAAGGAAATCGGCATTATCTTGTACATGTTCAAATTTTCATTCATGCACTAATTTTTTTTTATTTAATTAAATAATGCACCAAAGAACACAGAATAATAACGTGCAAAAAAGCAGACAATGTTCCATAGTATCTCAATTTTTCTGACTTTCTAACTATGCGATAAGAGCCACTAAACTTCATCTATGCTCGTCAATGTGCTTCCCATGGGAATCAAGCTTGAACTGAAATTAAAATTAACAATTCTCTTTAGAGAAAACAATCTAATATAATACACCACTTGATAAATGAAAAACTTAGCTATCTATGGTTATAAATAGTATAGTATTGAACATCAGAAAGAACTATTGGCAATTTCTGAAAGACAGGATGTTATAGGTGGGCATGGCGAGAGGAGTCTGATTTTCTATTAGATGGCTCTGTAACCAAATAACATTGAAAGCTATAAACATTATGCTTTCCCTGAGTGATGATAATAGTATAAAAAGTAGTTTACATAAATTCTGTGCTTCCTGGAGGGGTGGTAAATACATTAGAGAAGAGAGAATGTTTAGAGAAAATATCACAATTCTCACACTAAGGGAAATTCTAGAAGAAACTTATATACTATTTATTGGTATACTATTAAAAAAAGTAGTTTATTTAAATTTTGAATGTAAATCACCTCAATCTCATGCCATGCACAGAAAATTTGGTTGAAGAAATCAGGCTTTTTTTTAAGTATTCAGTGGAAAACTCCCAACTGTTTTAATTCTATGGTCAGACAAATTCAATATAATTTTTTTTTAAACCAAGAAAACAACTATGTTTGGAGAAAGAAAGGTGACAAATTTAAAGAAAGGTTCAACTCGGCCAGCTCATTGGATGGAAGTTTGTGATTCAGAGGACAACTCACTTATCATTTTGCAAAGTTTAGAAAGGGATTTGTGGTGTGGTGGATTGACTTGAAGGCTGCTGTATCAAAAAGAAAATGGAAAGAGATTGCAGAATTCCCAGCTGTACGTGTTTACAAATAAAAAAAAATATATATATATCTCCTTAATGGAACTAGTTTCAAAATACAAAATCAACAAGCTGTATAGGAAGGAAAGGGTGAGCACATAAAATAAGAAAATAAGGGTATCCAAATACTTTTGTCAAAGTCTGAAATTGGCTTTTGTGTGTTATTTTTCATTTTATGCAAGTTGTGTAATAATTTGTTGTTCTATTATAAAGCTGAATATCCACTGTAATAGAACAGTTAATTAAAATGAAAGAAATTACTTTCTTTTTGGTTATCTGTTTTTTCTTCTTTAACTGCCCAAATACTTTTGTCTGCAACTGTATTACTTGTTTTCCTTAGTATGATATCATTCCATATATATATCAATGTATTAGTATATACAGACAATGCACAACATATATAGAGATCTACAGCCATTGTTCTTTAACTTCTGTCATGCACATTTTAGTACTAGAAATAAATGTAAAGTGAAACGTTGAGTGTCCAATTAAAAAAAAATAAAAAATTTGGTGTTGTAAGGTTTCAAAAATTTATAGACATACATACATAATAGGTCATATCAAACCCTTCAAATAAAAATTAGCTTCAAGTAACAAGTTTATAGTTTTGTTTTTCTTTATTCATAATTTGCTATAGTCTTAAAGAACTGCTAGTTATAAGAAAGGCCTACAGGTGATCAAATTGCTCAGATAACTGTGAATGTAAGCATGTACTAAATCAATTAAATTAATGATTAACTTAAGAAAGCTCACATGTGCAATTAGTTCATTTGTATGTAGTTAAGCACAAAGCTACATAATAGGCTACCTGTGCTAGCCACCTATAGGCATATTTTATAATTCACAATTCATTGAGTAATGGCCTACCATCATGGTCAACTGAGTCTAGTCCCCTATAGGCATATATTATAATTCACAATGGCCTACCGTCATGGTCATCTGAGTCTAGTCCCCTATAGGCATATATTATAATTCACAATGGCCTACCATCATGGTCATCCGATGTCTAGTCCCCTATAGGCGGATGTTGGTGTACTTTGGTAACAGATTTTCTTGTAGGCAGATTTTGTTAAAAAACAGCCCTGCTAAAAAGACAACAGATCTACAGCAAGTGAACGTCATTTACGAGTACAAGTGTAATAAAGGAGACTGCGAGCTCCTGGCAAACGCCTCCTACATCGGAATGAC